GAACAATGTCAGTGGAATCAGGATTAGGAAAGGGCCGCATTCGAAAAATACACTGAAAGGATTTTTGGTTGTTAATTAGGAGACCATTTTCCTCCGACCACGCTAGGACATGGTTTAGGCCATCCTTTAGAGACCGGAGGTGTGTCTGACTTTTTAGAGGGTGTCCAACAACCACATCATCAGCATACTTGACCCAAAGACAGTCGTTAGGTGACCTTAGCTCGTCAGTGTGGAGGGGGAAAATGTGAAGGAATAGAATGGACCCTTGAAGAACACCGCAATCATTGGGAAGGGTCGAAGATTTCCGTTTGCCAGATTTGACAAATTGAGTGCGGATGGTAAAGTAATCTCTATGCCAGGAGACGACCCAGCATGGAGAGCCGCATGTGGTGGGTTTGGTAAGGAGAAAAGGGCGCGGGACGGTATTGAATGCGGAGGAGTAATCAAGAAATGGGCATTTTAGCTGTTCGAACGTAATACATACCACTACTTTATTATCATATTTCATTTTTGTTGACGCCTTGAGGACAGGTGTTTTATTAAGCCACACGCTGTTTTGCATTTCGGCAGGGGATCATTGCCGTGATACTAACAAAAAGCCCACATTTGTTAACTTTGTAGCCCTAACACCTTGTCCAAGTACCGGAGGAAATTTGCGCCTTGCCGACATCCTACACTATCGACTCCGCCGGAAACCTGCGTTTAGTGTACACAAACCGCACGCTGGTGGTATCCAGACAAACTTACACATACGTGTTTTATCTGAACCAATAATACATTCTTGCTATGTTGTATACCAAGCGGTCGATGCACACGTCTTCAGATTGGCATGCAATGCCACATTTCCTCGCATGAACATCCATTTGCTTCACGGAGTAAACACTTTTACTTGATTTTTTATTGCTGCCTTACATTCAAAAACATCTACTTACACTTTGCGCACAGAGGGCATGAATACAAGGATTAAAATGGTTAATGAATAAACTCTAGCAGGACACTTCTATAGGTTATGTTGATAAAAAAAACCTAATGTAGTCAATAAAGGTAGCTGAACTCGATTAGATCTGAATATGACTAGAGTGGAAATTAAAAAAGCAGATGGCATTTTTATGTTAGATGTGGTTTTCAGTAATTGCATCTATTATTCTGGAACAAATTAGCCACTGGGGTTAAATACTTTGGCTGTTCGCGAAACCCAGCGTCCGTCACTTAGGAAACGCAGCATAAAATGCCGACATATGCTTATCTGTTTTTCGGTTTACACCTGGCATTTATATAAATTTCTCTCAAACTATGAAAGTGAGACGAAGTTGAAAGGCATCTGTATCCGCCGAGTATTAATAGACATGTGTTGGAGTATGAGCAAGCTGTAATTTTTTCCTGTTTACATTGTAGGTGACAGTGAATCCTATCATAGAACTGATAACTCAGTCTGCAAATATGGACCAATTCACCTTTAACGTGGAAAATGCGTACGCGATTGCGGACTTCCTGCTTGTTTCCAGTGCACTGGCTGAACGCAGCGTATTGCATTTTACCGGATTCATTTTCAATGGCCTTCGGCGTAATGTCTATAGAAAGGGTTGGAAGAGTCTATCCCCGTGGAAGCAAGAGGCACTGCGTTCCCTGGATCTTCTTGTGTCTGAAGCGTCCGCCATTTCATTAGCCACCTCATGTTCCACATGACTAATATCCTCCATACGAATCAGAACGATTGTCAGGCCGTGCCAGCTGTATTCTGCCTTGTAGCATGTGTATTCTTGGTCAAACACATTTTTATAAAAGACACTACACACATTTCGTCGCATACGCTCCATTTTTTAAAATGTTTTTGATCGTTAATAGAATGGGAAATTCAAAGATATAATTGTTGTTTCAAAAAACTGTTCAACCAGAGATTTTATCGTATATGTGTGCCTTGTTGGCCTACGGTAATAGTAGATATGCACTGCGTCTGCCCCTGTACCCAGTGTCATGGTACATTCACGAAGACCGGAGGCGGGAAGAAGCGCAAATTTCTGGCACTGCGTACCACCGCAGACACTGGCCGCGATAAGCATTTGCCCGGGGCTTCACGCACTGCAAATAAAACAACAGAACTACTTTCAGCGGCAGCCATTGCAGCTTCACACTCCGTCCACCAATCGGCCACTACACACACATACACACACACACACACACGACAGTTCGACCGTCGATTTCGACGATGTCCACCGTGTGCCCCACAGCTGCAGCAGCGGTGGGAGCAGGGACGGTGACTTGCGCAGGGGTTTATAGTGCCGGTAGACTTGCGCTGCATCTACCTACACTCTCTCCTCCTCCCCCGCTTGGACCCGGTGTCAAGGCAGAGTCAAGAAGACCAGAGACGAGGGAGGTCGCAGGTGGATGGCTCGGACGGATCCTCACCTTGGCGTTCCACCACACCCCCTGGTCCACACAACAATGACCAGGATTTCAACCAACACAACAAGGATTTGGAGGCTGGCACGGCCGAAGCCGCACCTGGGCGTGCCGCCAACGCCTGACGTGGATCCCACACTGTGGTGGGAATGCCATAAAGGCCACATTAAAAAGGAGCCATTGCAGCCTGACTCTCAGACCGCCTCCAGTGAAGGAGGAGGTCCAAGGTACCCCGTCAGTTGGCAACCTTCCAAGCCACGGCTTTTAGCGCACCGTGATAGCTTCAAGCGCGTCAGATTGATTATAGTGAGGAAAATGCGCTGAGTCGTCGACCTCACTCTCCCTTCCCATTCCCACACCCAAGCCGCTGTCCGAGCCGGTCAGTAGACTGGAGTGGGGAATGGGCGCGGTGGCTGACATGGTCGACTGACCATGCTTGCGCGCGCCACAGCACGACCTGGCCCCCCATACACACAAACACCAGGATTTCACACAACGGGGGTTGAACGGCGTGTCTCTCCTTTGCGTGAGAGTGCCGTGGAAGGTGCTGTTGCAGCCCGTCCCCAGCCCACCAGTCCGCCACTACACACAACACACACACACAACGTGACGAACTGCGTGAACCGAGAGCGGGCCTCAATCAGCAACCTTCCTATCCACGACACTTGACGTGTCGGGATAGTCTCGGACACAGGTCACCCGTGCAGCTGAAACCGCATGGGGCACCGAGTCGAGATGCACACTTCCCACTTGCGTGGGAGGCGGCAGTTGAATGCATGTGTGTGTCTCTGTGCGATGGATTCGCAAGTGACCGACCAGGCCGATGCGTGAGGTGAAGGTGCGTGGACAATGTGGGCATGAGAGGTTGGCGGTGTCGGGGTCAGCTGTAGAGGAAGCAGTAGTGTTGGTGGTGGTGG